TGGAGGACTCCGGTTTGTCAGCTAATCATAAGCAGGGCTGGTTATCCTGCTGGTATAACAGAGTCACATGAAGGATGGCTCAGCCAGGATGCCTGAGCCTGCATTCATGAGGCAGCAATGTTAGGTGAGCTGCTACGGAAGTCAAACACTTGGCAAGATCACCGTGCTGCCATCATTTAACACGACCTGCAGCCTGGGAGTGGAAGCTTGATGCAGAATCTGAAATAGCCATCTCGGGAGCCTCTCCAGAAATGCATGCAGAGGGAGTGAAGGAAACTCTGCAGGCAGACCCACATCAAAACTGGCCCCCGCACAGCAATATCGCATGGGGGAAGGAATTGGCCTATTCATAAGATGGCTTTCGTGGTGGGTATAGCCAACTGCAAAACACTCGTTTTTCAAAAGGCAAACTGGCAAGACTAAAAGGAACGCAACTGGCCAAGAGCCTGTGTATGAAGTAGAAGTGGAGTCTGCATTCTAAAGTGCAATCCCAAACATCTTATGTTCCGTCCCTGCACCAATGGGAAGCATTGGTGTGATTGTGGGAACCCCCAGGTCTTGAGGAAGTGCAAAAAGTCTTCAGGAAAAAACAGGGGAGGGAAAGGAGCTCCCCCTTGGCCCCCAACATGCAAATGAGGGCTGAGCATTTAGCACGGAATGTTGGTTCAGTGTTGCGGGGAAAATGGAACCCTGGGGGTTGAACATGGGGGTTGAATGGAATAGATTAGTAGGGTAACAACTAACCAGAAAGAGGGCAATTCTTCACCAAAACGAACAAAAGAGGACACGAGAAATTGCATTTGGACTTAGAAACTACTTAGAATGTAAGCAGAAAGACACTGACAGCCAGTGTGGTGCAGTGGTTAGCATATTGGGAAATCTAGCTATGAAGCTCACTTTGGTTAGGCCTCTGCCTAACCTACCTTACAGGGTTGTCATGAAGATAACATGAAGAGGAGGAAGTTTATGTAGGCTGCCTTGGCTTCCATGTAGGGTGAAGAAAGAGGATGTAAATGCAGTACATTTTATTTATTTATTTATTTATTTATTTGGAATTTTTATATGCCATCCCAGTCGCATAAGCCTCAGGACGGCTTCCAACATAATAAACAATCATATGAACCATACATATAAAATAAAAAATAAAAAATCTGGATTCACCCATGCTATAAAAATTAAAACCAATAAATAATATTAACAATTATTAAAATATTGTTTAAATAAAAAGGTCTTGGCCTGGCGCTGAAAAACAAATAACGATGGCGCCAGGCAGACCTCTCTGGGGAGCACATTCCATAAGTGGGGTGCCACCACAGAGAAAGCCCTCCTCTGGGTACTCACTCTCCTAATGTCTTTCACGGAGGGTTCCCAGAGAAGGGCCTCTGCCGCCGATCTCAAGGGGTGGGAGGGCAAATATGGACGCAGGCGTTCCTTCAGGTATCCAGGTCCTAAGCCGTTAAGGGCTTTGTAGGTGATAACCAGCACCTTGAATTGGGCCCGGACTTCAATGGGGAGCCAGTGAAGCTGATGGAGGACGGGGGTTATGTGAGAACAATGCCCAGTTCCAGTCAGCAACCTGGCTGCTCTATTTTGCACCATCTGAAGTATCCGGACTGTCTTCAAGGGCAGCCCCACGTAGAGTGCATTACAGAAGTCCAATTGGGAAGTAACCAATGCATGTATCACTGTCGCTAGGCAATCGTCCTCCAGGTAGGGACACAGCTGATGGATCAACCGAAGCTGGAGGAAAGCACTCCTTGCCACCGCAGTCACTTGAGCTTCCAAAGACAGCTCTGGGTTGAGGAGCACTCCCAAGCTGCGGACCCTGTCCTTTAGAGGGAGTGCAACCCCATTCAGGACAAGGTCCAAGTCACCTACTCCGGAGCCCGAACCACCCACCAACAGGACCTCCGTCTTGTCTGGATTGAGCTTCAGTTTATTAGCCCTCATCCAGCCCATTACCTGGCCAGGCACCAGTTCAGTACAGCCACTGCCTCACCTGGATTGGTTGAAAAAGAGAGGTAGAGCTGGGTATCATCAGCGTACTGATGATTCCGCAGCCCACACCTCCTGATGACCTCTCCCAGCAGTTTCATGTAGATGTTAAATAGCATGTTATGTACATAGCTACATAAAATAATTTCTCTGATTATAGTGGGGAAGAATGGAACCAAGTGACCTGTTTAGCCTGATGTCCAGTTGCTAACCTGTTGATTGGCAACCTCAAGGGTTGAAGTTCTGTCTCCTTATTGTTCTTTGACTTTACATTGGACTTAGCCTGAACAGTTCATCAAAGAGAAGCAATCTGCAAACAGAGGACTGTGTTCTGGAGAAAACATATGGCTGGCTGGAACACTGAACAGGAATGCTTAATGCTACCAGATTTTGTTGCTGTCTCCATATTTCCCTCTGTTTCTCTTCCGGGAGTTTCTGGATCCCACTCAGGAATCCCTTAACTATCCAACTTTAGGAAAGGGCACAGAAATGCCTCCCTATATGGTATATCCAACAATGAAGTGGGTTCTGTGCATAAGGATTTAGCAGGAGGTAGTCACCACCCAGCTGCTACGTGCAAGCCTTTGACTTCTGGAGAATGGCAACATCGCCTCGGATCCCAGTGGGCTTGCTGGGAGGCTATGAAGAAACAGGTGGATGACAGGCATGGACAGGTTGCTGCCTGCGTGTTGCAACTGGAGGCATGTGATCAACAACACCCCCAAGCTCCTCTTCATGTGAGGAAGCCAGATTGCATCACAAATAATGGGAAGAAGTTGCACAACACACTTAAGATGATGTCTATCAGTAAGAAGGTTTGTTGGAAAGGATATGCCTCTCCCTTAAAAAAAAAAAATCAGCAAACACCAAATTTAAAGTCTGCAAGGTGCAAAGAAAAAGGAGAAATCATAAGACCATGGCGAGAACATCCGGTTCTGCTAGTCAATGCAGCATCCAGTCCCAGAAATCTCGACATGGCCTTCATACAGTGATCAGGTAGAGGGGCCTCTAACTCCAACTAGTTGACTTAACTTCGGATGGCTGGGAAGGGGACTAGAGAGCCCACAGGGATTACATATCATAGCCTTTCCCCTCCTCTCCCCTCCCCATCCCATCCACCAGCACACACCCCTTTCTCCCTTTCCAACTACTCTTATGACAGGTCGTGAGATGTGACCTGCAATGATCCCCTATCCTATCGCTGTGTACAGGCACACAGGAGGTGACTTGCACCTTCCTATGGACCCCAGATGGGTTCCTAGGCAGTACATGATTGCTCTCCTATTTGTCATCCGACAGCAAAGACTCACTGAGCACCAGTAGGAAGTACCTCTTCACATCATGTATAGTTAAACTCTGAAATTTGCTACCATGAGATGTAGTGACAGCTGCAAATGTGGTTGGCTTTAAAGGGGGAAGAGGCAAATTCATGGAGGCAAGCAATAGTCTCCAGTCCTGATGGCTGCATGGTACCTCTGCTATGGAACAGTTGGTGGAGAACATGAATGGGGTGTGGCCATTGCTTTCATAACCTGCTTGTGGGCTTCCTGGAGGTATGTGGCTGGCCTCTGTGGGAACAGAATGCTGTGCCATTAACTTAGAATCATAGAATAGTAGACCTGGAAGGAGCCATGAAGGGTACAGCCCCCTGCTGTTGCAGGACACCAAGTCACACCATCCCACTCAGATGGCTGTCCAGCTTCTTTTTGAATGTCCTAGTGTGAGGGAGACCACCACCTCTCTAGGCAGCTGGTTCCACTGTTGTATTGCTCTGACAGTGAGGAAGCTTTTCCTGATGTCCAGCCTGAATCTGGGTTGTTGCAACTTGAGTTGATTATTCTGTGTCCTATGCTCTGGTATCAGCAAGAAGAGCTCTTTGTGACAGCCTTTGAGGTAGTTATAGAGGGATATCATGTCCCCCCACCCCAACTCTCCTCAAGGCTGAGCATGCCCAGTTCTCTCAGTCTCTCCTCATAGGGCAGTGTTTCCAAACCCTGGATCATTTTTGTTGCCCTCTGCTGGACCCTTTCTAATTTACTTGCATCTTTCCTAAATCTTGGTGCCCAGAACTGGACACAGTATTCCAGGTGAGGTCTGACTAGTGAGGAGTATAGAGGAACAACTACTTCTCATGATTTGGAAGTAATATTTCTGTTAATGCATCCCAAAATAGCATTTGACTTTTGGTGACTGCATCGCATCATTGGCTCATTTTTAGCCTATTGTTCACTTGATACAACATGATTTTTCTTTCATGGTTGCCCATCCTAGTTTTCTTTAGTAGCTTTGTGTGTCTGTGTAGGTTAAATTTTTTGGTGGAGGACTCAATGAAAGGACAAGATGTGCCATGTAGAAGTTCCAATCGCTCTCTGACCAGCTTCACATTAAGCCAGCAAAATGACCACCAGTTTATATGCTTTACAGATTTAAATTTTTTAGAAAATCTAAATGATTTTTAGGTTAAGAATTTAATAGAAAAAAAATCTAATTTATAAACTATGGAATGCGCTCCCTAGAGGGGTCTGCCTGGCGCCAACGTTATATGCTTTCCGGCGCCAGGTCAAGACCTTTTTATTCACCCAGTATTTTAATGTTTAAAAGATTTTAATTATGTTTTACTTCAGTTGTGGGATATTAGTCTTATTATTGTTTGGGGTATTCTATGATATTTTATACTGTTGTATATATTGAATTTTGTTTGTAAGCCATCCAGAGACGCATAGTGATTGGACAGGTTAGAAATATCCCAAATAAATAAACTGGATGCTGATCACGTGATCCCCTCTCGCATTTTGACTGAGTCAACATGAAGAAGTTGTGCTGGGCCAAGGTATTTTGCTGTCTGAGGGGAAGGGCACATGGGCCTTGCTTCTCCATTCCGTGCCCAAAGGTTGCATGGGCTGGCAGCTAAACCTGACTTCAGCATGGGCAACAAGACCCCTGAGGGCAGCTGGCTACCGTAGGGGATACGGGGCAAGCTGGGGAGCACAGCTTCTTTCGCCCTCATGCCCTGCTCTCCAGCATCTGCTGCTGGAAATGGCTGCCTAGTGGCCAGACTGGCCTGCTGCATGATGAAGCCACCTGCGGAGGAAAGTAAATACAGCCTTCCCACCAGCAAGCTTGTCAAAATACACTGGTGTAGAAGGGGGACCTCTGTGAAGTGTAAATTTTGCCTCAACCCAGGTTCTTCTGTTTCACCTAAGAAAACTCATTCTAACCTGGTCACAATTATTCTGCAATATCTCACCTGTTTAGCACCCAGCTTAATTCTGTTCGTAAAAAAGAGCAATTAAGCTCAGTTACACCTGAGAGGTTGCTTGGAGGCAGATAAGTCTTCACACTGTTTTGGTTTCTGCTAGCTGTTGGTTTGTATATTTTTGTTCACCCACGTTAAGCTGGGTGGTGGAGAGAAGAGACACTTCAGCTATTCAGTCTTGATTAGGGACACATAATATAGAATTAGCTATTAGGAAACAGGAAGTGTTGCTACACAAGAGTGAGCCATAGAAGTGGATGGGTGGACAGAAATTGCTTGCGTGATCACAACTGGATCATCACATGGTTGAAAACTGGAAAGTAATTATCTCTATTTTGTTTCTTCTATCTTCCCATGAAGCATGTGTCAAAACCTGCTTGCTTCAGTCCCATTGGTCTGCCTTTTAGACCTAGATCCTATCCTATAAGGCCCATTTGGTAATATGGTGCACCTGGGTCACTCTATATGTATACTGGTGATATAAATCTGGTTCAGAGGCCATGTTCCCCCAATTTCTCCTCTCCCCACTGTGGGAACATGCAAGTCTGCCTGCTGTCCCATCAGTCTAAAGCAACACTCCCACTTTGGAAGGCATGATATGTCAATTTGTGGGTATAATATTTGAATATGGTGTGCACATTCATAACATCCAACAGTCATGGACCCAGCCTGTGTGACTGCTTCCAGGATTTATATCTATCATACAGTGTGTGTGGGGGGGTGATGTATATTGGATTTCACAATGTATAAGCCCTATAAAAAGTGACAGGGATAGAATTGTTGCAGGGATGTGTGAGGAATCCATTTGGGGGTAGGAATTGGTTGAATTTCCTGGGTTTGGCTCCCTGGACTCCCCTGCACCTTGCAGTAGTGCAGAATCGAAGTTCCTGGGGAGAGCACCCAGCGTTCATGGGAGTGCTCACCAGAAATCAAGTTCTATGTGCTGCACAAGCAGCACCTGCTGCAGCTGGCAGCTGCAGGTGAAGAAGTTGATCATTGTGCCTGGTGCCTGGCAATGGACTGGATCAAGCCCCTTGCTCATTTTTGATAGACGCTATACATCTATTTTCAGAAACAGCATTTGTATTTTATGCAGCTAGTATTAGAAAATTTACACTGGAATATTTCTAACCCTCTCCATTTTGCAAAAACAAAAAATCTAGTTTTCTGAAATTAGATTAATTTAGGGTATTAGATTATACTATTGTAATCTAATCTAATTGCGTTTATGGAATTAAACGCATATGCCCCAGAAAGTTTGAAAGAGCTACCTTAAAGAGAAAAACATGCTGTTGCTCAGGACCAAATGCTGAACTTGATGGTCTACTACAAATCTTGTGCTTGTTCAAATGAATGCGTTAGTCATGCAGCTGTGAAAATGCAGGACTCAGGACATGTGATTCCTCGAGATGAATTCCTTGCTGCTGGCTGAAGCACTCTGTGGCCAGAGTGTTCCTCAGCATAGGACTTAGGTGCTTTTGCTGTCATAGGTTTCTGGCCATACACAGCAATTACATCCCAGCCCTACTGGCCTGAGGATTAATGAATGCCTTGTTTGTTAGCCATGGTAAAGTGGCTGTGATGCCATAAAATGTACACTGCTCTCTCTTGCGGACACTGTTACCCAGGAGTGATCTTTAGACAAGTACAAAGGCTTCTGTCTGAGAACTTGGAATGCGCTCTCTCTCTCTCTCTCTCTCCCTCTCTCTCTCTGTGTGTGTGTGTGTGTGTGATGGCTGAGAATCTTAGTGTAAGTTTTGCACCCATACTGTGATTCTCCATTTATTTTCTATTCATTGTACTTGTCAGTGTAAATTACTAATAGGGCCATTTAAATGTATCAATGCTAAGCATACATTGGACTGGGGACCCAGGAGATCTGGCTTCTAGTCCCCTCCAAGCCATGAGGCTGACTGGGTGACCTTGGGCCAGTCAGACACGCTCAACTTAACCTACTTCAGAGGGTTGTTGTTCTGAGGATAAAGCAGTGTGGCAGTAAAGATCCAGCTGAAATGTAGCTCTCCTGTGCTTACCGGACTTCCTCCCCGTGCTCAACCCTGGCCAGAAGTGAGCAGAGCTAAGAGGAAGTCCATGAGTACTTGGGAACACTAGTGGACTCTTTCCTTGCCCAGATGCACACTGCTTTACAAAAAGATTGCAAACCCGCAAGTTATATGTATGGAAACAGAACGCCACTTGCATAACAGGTGCACAGGTGGTGCGGCAGCAGGTGGACGGGCTAGCCGCGCAGGCTCACTTGGCTTCGTTTCCTATCAGTTGCCCATGTGGACATTCTGCATGAAGGTGACACTGGGCAGAGAGAAAGCAGGCTGAGCCTGAGGAGCCAAGCCAAGGAAACCCAAAAGATGTCCACCCCCAGATGTCCATATCTCTATGTGTAAGCGGCTTTGGGTTCCCCACAAGAGGAAAAAAAAGCTGGAATATAGATATACCCTGTGAGGATGATATGATGTGGAGAATCCATTTCTATGAAAACATCTGTTTCCTCTTAATCCCATGTAGGAGAATTGTGTAGTCTTGTCTGAACACAGCGTTCTTCTAATTTCTTGGGTCCTGCGGATAAGCTTCAAATGTGGCCGATCCAGGGTGAAGAGTGGTTTGACCCCACAGTCTGTAATGTTAACCATTTGGATTTCTGTGATGAGGTAGCCAGGCAATGACTAAAAGTCATTGGGAATTTTATGGACTGATTTTCTTTTAAGACAGAGGAAGTGGTTCATTTAAAACATATAATGTGCATCTTCACTGGGTCACCGCCAATGACGCTTGTTATGGTCAGGATCCAAAGACCTATGAAATCAATTCCATGAGCTTAAGGCAGAATTAGAGGTGGTGAATGCATTGCTTCCCTTACAACAGGTGTGGTTCCACCTGAGAACTTTATTAAGGAATGCTAAGACCAGCTTTACGAATATGCTGAGTGAACTGGCCACATCGGGTAGCTAATTCTGGGTGCTGTCATGAAAGGGCAACACATCTTAATTATTTTGTTTACTAGATTGTATTCCTGCTGCCAGGAAAATGCACTTGAGGAGCTCTTTGCCTCAGCTGGCCTTGAGTGCTGTGCATCATAGGTTGGTAGGGGCACCATTTGCCTTCTGCCCCCAGCAGCAAAATGTTGGGAACCAGCCTTGTCTAAGAAATATGGAAAGTTCTCATTGGTCCGTTGAGCCCACTATTCTGGATGCTGATTGGGAGCAGCTCTCCAGGGGTTCAGGCAGGAGCTTTTTATATTCCTACCTGGAGGAACTGGGGACTGACCTGGGAAGTTTCTTCATGCACAGCAGATGCTCTGCCACTAAGCTACCACCACTCCATCCATGCCTTGTCCACCTTCCTTCTTCTCCCTCTTCTTACCAGATTCATTCAGGACACATGTCTAGTCAACTGAATTTACTGAATGTCAGGTTTATGAAAACAGCTTTTAGTGTGAGTCTAAGCAGCTCTTTGGATCTTGGCTTATCTATAGTAATAAACAGACACAGCTTTGAAGAGTCCACTAAATAGTTGTGGTACATCACTAAAGAACTTCTCTTTTGGGACAGTAACCCAGTCTGATTGCTATGTGACACTCTGGATGCCAACTGCTTCACTGAAAAGGACCAAAACCCAGACTGTGAATGACACCAAAGATCCTGTGTGGAATGAAACGTTTCACTTCCAGATCCAGAATCAAGTAAAGGTAAGTTGTTATGCTAGCCAAATGCAGCAAGAATTAGTAATTCTCTAGGCAGCTCTCAATAGCCATTCACAGCGAAAAGTGTCTGGGTGATGTGTAGGAGCCATGCAGTAGCAGCAGCAGCAGCAGCAACATAACATTCTCAAAGCCACAAGCAGTCCTTTCCATAGTTTCTATAGTTCTTTCCTTCCTTCCTCAAGTGTTAATACCAAACATTTCCAGCAAGGACAGATACAGACTACATCATGGGTTATCACAGACAGGTGTGATTTACTGCATCCTGAGTCTTCTCAAGAATGTGTACGAATTGCTTTTCAACACATACATGTGGTTTACTTTCCCACCACACCTAGTTGAGCAGAAGGATCCTCAAGGTCTGGGCAGCTACTTCCGCATGTTCCCCACACCATGCATTTCCTGTAGAGGGCCATTTTTGGCCATGTAGATGAAGTCCCACACAGGAGGTGGGAAGGGGTCTGAGGCACCCTTTGGAAGCAGCTGGTGTGGTACTTTCCATGCTGGTTGCCGGGGAGGGGGACATTCAAAGCCCCAGCTCTGAGGTTGCAGGACCTTGGTGCTGGGGCTCCAGATAATCTGACGGCCCTCCAGATAATGCCCAGAGGCTATAGGGTGGCAGCCAAAAATAATACGAAATCAAATACATTGAAATACATTGAAAAACACAACAATAATCAAATAAATGGCTCCAGAATGGATCTTGCAAAACTTGCCTTTGGCAAAACTCGGTGATATTCAAGTATCAACAGATGAATATGCACAGAAACCGTACTTCTTTTATGAAAATCCTGACAAAACATTCCTTTGTGGAAACTTTCACTTTCATTTTTGGTTTCATTTTAATTAAGCGTAACTTGACCAAGATTACATCTATATACTGAGCTAAGGTTTGTGGCTGCTGGTTCAACTTTTGAGTGACATTTATTATAATAGCCCAGAACATGTGATTATCGCATTATCATAGTGGCGAGCAAATTCTGTTCAGTGGAGGCATCTGCAGAACTTGATGGTGAGGGAGTCGCAGAGACAGGATCAACCTTTTGTTGTTGTTGCTATTGTCATACTGTGCAATTAGCAAACATTTTGAAGCAAAACATCTTCATGAATTTTTAAAACGCATCTTCTCATAATTACAGGGAGGTAATGTTCACACTTCCGCTGAAGAACTTTTATAAACCATTCAGGGAGCCTGGGCAATGGCATGGCACAGAGATGAATTGACCAAACACAAACAAACAAACAAAACAAAACAAGGAACAAAGAGGGCTGTCAGGACAAAATGTTTCCACATGGGGAGGATGGATGCAGAGCTGGCCTTCCAAGAAGAGTGGGAGAACAGGGGGAAGCCGTAAACTGAACCAGTCCCCCCATCCCTTCCAGTAGTTGCTCCATAGAGCCCTGCAACTGCTGTCATGGCATTCTCTGCAGCAGGAAAGCTGGGCTGCCAGGCTCTCTGAAGCAGCTGTCTGCTCAGCTTTTATAGGAGGTTCTCCCGGGAGCCAGGTGGGTCCCATTCTCCTCTTGTGGCAAATGCTGCCGTGAAAGAGCACCTGAAGGGACTCTCTGGAGGGCTGCCTGCTTGGGGATGCTCCAGGAAGCCCTGCCATCCACTCTCCCCCTGGGGCAAATGCTGCACTCGAAGAGCAACTGGTGGAACTCTCTGCCATAGCCAGCAGACTCTGTTTGCTCTGATGGGACCCTCAGATGTTCTCAGCTATGCACCCTCTGTCTCAGATGGAGAAACTGCTCAGCAAAGTCCAGACAGAGGGTGCAGTGTATGGAAGGGTACAAGGGGAAGGGTGGGGAGCACTCAACAAGGTTAGGGAAGCAGGTGATGAGGGAAAGGACCCATGTAGAGACATAGGGGAGGAGCTGAGGGAAAGGGATGGGGGTGAGCATGTGGGGGAAGGGGAAGGGGAAGGCTGGAGACGCATGCCTGCTCTCACACCCCACATGGTGGATGAACTTGTGTTGGACATGGATGGAAACTATTCAGACATGGTTCTCCTTTGCTTCCTCTAGAACATCCTGGAGCTTAAAGTCTGTGATGAAGATAAGCACACCAAAGATGACCATCTCCTTACAGTTTTCTTTGATGTATCTAAAATCCAACTTGGAGAAACAGTTTGTCTGAACTTTCAGCTGAACCCAAAGGTGAGTATTGAAACTAAAAGGCATTCTGTAAAACTGGAGGAAAACCCAAAATAAACACCTTTGTGCCTGTGTTCAGGAGCCACATGTACCGCAGTAATTTGGGGATAGAATCTCACTAGGCATGGATGAGAAATGCGTTTCAGTTCATTTTAGAACAAATTATTTTTTGTGTGTACCTCCCAGAAACGAAGGCAGATCTATTGCATTCTGTGCTCTAAAGGTTGTACATTTTCAAGTTTGCAATACAATTTGCTTGACAACAAAAACAAAAATTGCATTTTAAAAATTTTATGCATTTTTAAAGCATTTTATGCTTTAAAATCTTCATGAAAACATGTGTATTTGAAAAAAAATGCACATAAACACAATTAAATCAATGGGTAGAAAATGCATACCTTTCAAAGATGAGAACAACAGACGTGTACATTTGGAAAAAAGTCCACAGAACACAGAATCTAATATGGACACAAGTCAGGACAAAGTTTGAGGTAGAAATCAGAAAACCTCACCAAGTCTGAGTCTTGATTCAGAAATCCCCAAGTCCCACTGAGTTCAAGTAAGTGCTTAGTTTATTTATTTATTTATTTATTTAAAACATTTCTACGCTGTCCCCATCGCAACAAAGCCCTGGGGTGGCTCACAACAAAAACAAACAAAAGCATATAAAAATTATACAATAAAAATATTAAAACCCAGTGCATCTCGGCTTAATTTTTTTTGTTAAAAAACCTACATAATAAATTAACAATTAAAATAAGTTTTAAATAAAAAGGTCTTAGCCTGGCGCCGAAAAACAAATAACAATGGCGCCAGGCAGACCTCTCTGGGGAGCGCATTCCATAGGTGGGGCGCCACCGCAGAGAAGGCCCTCCTCCGGGTACTCACCCTCCTAATATCATTCACGGAGGGTTCCCTTGGTAAGCCTGTTTGTTGGCTGATCATGTTGCCAAGGCCTGCATTTCCTGGAGCAACTGATTAAAAGGCCCCATTAGCATTTGAGACAGCAACAGTACAGCAGCTTATCCAGTCTTCCCAAAACTGGTGCAGTCCAGTGGTAGCTCAGGAAGAGGGTAGATAGAGGCTTAAACAAGGTGTGTACAACCCATGAACTGGCCAAATTGCCACCCCATATTTCTCCCACCAGCGATCCATGTCAAGAGAGGAACTCTTTCCTCTCTTGACATGGCGGCATGCATCACCAGGAGTAGCAGCAGTCCTGATGCAGAAGGCTCTGTCCTTCTTGGTAGCATTAGAGAAGAAAAAGCAATCTACATGGTGGGATGGAAGAGGAGACTTTCCCTTCCTTCTCCCAGGGATCTGTAGTATAAATCATGATCTTCTGAGGCTGACTTGGGAGACCAGTATTAGAAGCAGCCACTGGTTACAGAACCGTATGTCTTTCCAATTTATGTAACAAATGTTGAATCCTGGGAATTCCCTGGCCTGACTGCTCCCTGTAGGAAAGAGCCAACCATAGTGTTTGAATTTCTGTTTATTTGAAATTTTCCTGAGACTGTATTTTTAATACATGAATTGAGAAAACATACAGGGTAGTTTGCCAGCCCTTGGGTTGGATGAGCTGCATTTTTGGCACATATATTTCACCCAGTATCCATACTATCTTTTGTTTGCCTGTATCACTGTCCCTGCTCCCATACGCCTCCCTGAGTTTTCTCATCCATGCACTGGGTTTAAATGACCAAAACAGGGATGCTCACATGCCTTAGATCTCTAGAGGTCTGCACTTATGGACTTTCCCGTTTCAGACATCTGCATGTGAACAAGGAGTCACTGAAGTGTTCTTTTTTAAACTTGCAGGGTAAAGAGGAACTAGAAGTTGAGTTTACGATGGAGAGCAGGTAAGAGCAGCTCTAATTAAGGAGGCCTACCAACATGGCCTACTTTGGCTACTACTGGGCCAAAGCAAGTGGCATAGATAAACAGCTTGCTTTAGATCTCTCTTAGCACCCAGCTAGGTGTCACTGGTTGTGCAAATTCAGGTCTGGTCCATGGGACAATATTGGCAACCAAATGTCTCTACACACCATTTTCATTCAAGACACATGCTAGCAGTTAACAGACTGTGTAGGCACTTAGTAAAAGGGCTTCAGGATCACATGGCAAAACAGCTTGTGAATCACTCTAAGTCTTGACTGAAAGAAATCTTGTAATACTTCTTCCCATAAAATTCAGGGGACAAAGAAAATTAAATACTGGGGGGAAAGAGTTATAGCTTGCTGTGGGCTAGTTCTCTATGTGATATTCCTGCTCTACAGCTTCAGATGTGCTCTGGGGCACACATGGAGTTTCTGCCCAAACAGTCTTCTCCATTAACTTTGGTGGAAGGCCAGCTTTGCTTATCCTTTTTCTGGGTAGAGTTTCTGCTTCCATAGTAGTGAATGGAGAAAGCCTAACATTTACCATCAGCCACTGTTGCCCATGATGGATGGGGCTGACAGGTGTTCTAGTTCAACAATGCCTTGGTGTCCATTGGTTCCTCACCCCTGCCCCATTGTGTTGGGGGCTCTGAGCATGCATTGGAGCTGTCATATGTATAAGAAATGGATGGATCAGGACCACAGACCATTATCAGGGAAAAGGGACTTGTAAAAGTTCTTGACTGCAAATGTTCTTGACTGCAACTCCCATCATTCCTCACTCTTGGCTAAGTTGTCTGGTGATGATGGGAGTTCCAGTCTACCAACAACGAGTAGGTCATGCAGTCTCTACCCCTGGCCTGTATCCTAGGCAGCAACACAATCCCTACAAAGTAAGCCCACTTGCTCATCAGTGCTTCCAGCTACAGCATTGTTATGAGCAACCCAAAATATAATGTAAAGATTCTGGGGAAAGGCATCAGTTGTAGTGGGAGCCCCCTTCTGCCACTTCGTAGCTGCTCCAGCTGACCTTCCTTTGGCCCAACTCCACTGGCGCGCCCTTCAGAGCCGCCTTCCTCGTCCATGGCCTCCACCCTGCTGTTGCTCTCTCACTGTTCTGGGTTTCCTCCTGAATTTTGCCCTTCTCTCCAGTTTCCCCACTCCCAGGAAAGGAGACCTTTTAAAGGGCTCCTGGACTAAGCCAGGATAATCATGGATTGGTTCAGCATTGCATGACATTTCTTGTCTAGTCAGTATCTGGCTTGGTGTCCAGTCTGTAGAGTCAGTGGGAAGCCATCAGATGGGGATTCTGACGCACACCAAAACAAGCATGTAAAATATCATCCTTTTTAATGAAAACAATAGTGTGATCATTTATTTTTCTTACTGTTTTCTCTTTCAGTCCAGATGCTCCAGAAAAGATTTTTACTAATGGAGTCTTAGTGGTAATTTTACTCTTGTACTATCATTTTACAACTACTCAGCTAGTAAGAACTAAGAGAGGGTGCTTGGATCCTGCACACAGAGACATTCTTCTGTGTGATTAGCTGGGACTCAGATTTATACTTCCGGACTCTTAATGCACCCACGCAGTTCCCTGCAATTACTCATGCTGAGAAAAGCATGGACTTGAGCAATATTTCTTGGTCACAGCTCCCATCAGCTTCCCCACCATCTGACTGAGTGCCACCAAGTGGTAAAAATGAAGTGCTGCACATCATTTATGTCACAGGTAGAGATACCAGTGGACAAATCTGCAGTGGACTCAAATATGTCTGGATTTCTATGAATCCAGCTTGCAGATTTTTAGTAAACTAGCATTTTTGCATGCCACAGAGATTCTATGGATTTGCAGACTGTGTTTCTCTCTCTTTCACTTTTTAAACATAATTTCAATTGAAGAAAAATATGATTTAAAAAACTGGATGAAAATTTACTCCCATAGACTACAACATGGACATGCACATTTGGAAAGAAATTGCAAATTTTAGGGAGATTAGCACATTTTCAGAAGTGCAAATCTGTGGAAATTGGTATGAAAGTATTCATGCAAAATCCAGTTCTGTCAATGAGAGGATGATGGAATAGAATACTACTGAAAATGCGCAAAATGCAGATGGAATGGTTTTAGTAAACTCTATATATCTCCAGCCATAGGTTCTGAAACCATTGTTTTAAGGAAATTACAGTCAATGTAATTTTCTGTATAACTAGCATCTCCTCCATCTACCTTCATTAATTGCGTGGACTCCTACAAGTACTGAAAAAAGATGCAGAGTTATAAATCTTCCCTCAGTAGTAGGATCACCACAGACAGTTAATGCTGCATTCTGATTAAGAAGGGCCAGCAAGGAGAGCGTGTCCACATTGACACCACTGCTTGAAAAATGCTGAAGCTACTTCCAAGGACCTACTCCCATGATACCTCCCCAGCCAACCCAGCCTCCCCTGAGAGCAAATGCACTCCAGGCATCCTCATCAGTAGCTGTTTTGGTCCTGCATTGCCCAGCAACTCCAGGCCTTGGCCATGGCCTTCCATCAGACATGGAAACTGGAGGAAAAGGCAGGGACAAGGGGGTGTGACAGAAGTAGGACTTGCAGATAGACTGGTAGATTCATGCCCTGAAAGAGGTTACGTTTTTGTGGATGTTGTAACTGGATCAGATCTTTTGTTCCCCTGAGGTGGGGCAGATTTAGCCAACTGGGCCCAGGCATGGGATGATGCCTTACTCTGAGGCTGATGCAGTCCTTAATTAAAGCAACTGGAGGCCCTGGGCTAGGACACCTTGGGAGGCCCAGACTTAATAGCATCTGATCATGGGAAACAAAACCTCATTCTCTTCTTTATCTACTCAATGAAAGTAGAACATTGCTGAAATTTTGGCACTGATAATAAGATAGTTTATACATTTAATAAGTTTACAAAAGTAGGGAATTAATGAAGGTGTCCACATAGAACATTGATAGAGCAATCATATCTATGTGATAACATTACACTATATACAAAGAACAGTTTCTTTCAAGCTTTTTTGAATGCAAACTTATCAACTATATTATTAAAATCAGTAAGTTGCAGTTTATCATTTTCTAGGCAGAGATCATAGCTGATCTTGTGACATTGTTGATCATTCTTTATCCCTTTTTGTCCAGAAAATGATCTTTTGCCTAGATATGCCCCTGATTTTTATCATTACAAATGAAATGAAATTAATGGTAATTAAAAATATGCAAGAGAACAAGGCTCCCTAGACGATGAGGCCTGAACTGCAGCCCGTTCAGCCCATATGTAAATCCAGCGCTGAGCTGATGCTTTACCCGGAACTAAGAAGGTAAAGGTGGTCTCCAGGGCCACCTTCCCTAAAGCGTCTCTCTCTAAGGAAGGAGCCCTCAAGAAAGAACAGGACAGAAAAGAAAAGAACAGTACAGAAAAAAACAGAAAAGGATGTGGGCCTGGCGGGGAACCGAGAGGACGGTGGCCTATCAGGAGAGACAGTTTGTCTCTGGAAGAACATATTTTGTATTAGAAATACAAGCCCCAGTATTCCCAGATGGAAACAGAAGTTATACTTCTCCACCTCTTCAGTAGGAATAATATCAGTTTTCCACCGGGAAGGTTCAGATCTGTGGTCACCACCACTGCCATGGCGCCCTTCCCCACAAATGTCTTGGCCGTGGGGCAGGGGCAGGGGGAAACACGTATGGCTGTGTTTATCTAGTCCTGTTCACTAGAGAGCTTTTGCTCTTGCTAAAATGCTTGCAATATCCATAAGAGAGCTACTGTAGATTAACATATATTAATTAAACAGAGAAGGGAGGTTGAACTTTATGCAATATTTAATGTTTAAAGTAGGAGAATCAAGAGTTGCATTTATTTGAATTCATACCCTTTGACCCAGAAGGCTTCAATTAGCATTAATATGTGGGGGCCAGTTGTAGGTACTCAATAGTATAATACCAACTCTTCCTTTAAGTTTTATTTATTTATTTATTTGTTTATTTTATTTCACACATTCAAGGGTTGAATTCTAGCATAGGAAAGAGTTGCAGGGGTGAAACTCTGGTGAGCTGGGGCTTAAAGTAACCCCTGACTTAATTCATTTGCACCACTGTAATCTTATAGCATACCTATGAGATTAATGAAATAGAAGCCTGAAAGCACACACATGTCCTGCATTCCATTGTTTATTGTGGTTTGTTTTTATTCGTTATAGTCTCGTGAAGTTGCATGTTTGGACGTTCAAGTGGATGGGGGAAGGAAAAAAAAGGATTCACCAGGTATCAGCTAATGTCTATCTTTATATAATAAGCTGGTCATTGTCTTGTTTACCTCTCAAGCCATTCCCTTGTCCATTTGTTGCTGAACTTCTATAAAGCCAAGGAATGTTCACAGGCATTTCATTTGCATGAAGTGAGTTGACATCTTTGTAAACCACATAGAAGGTTTATTTGGAGAGGGAATTTTCTTACAAAATCTAGGAAAGAGAAGATGGATTTTGGGGAACAAACATAATGGACAAACCAAGAAATTTTGTTCCAGACTATTCAGATAGGCAGCTAGAAATACTAAATCTAAGAATCATTTTAAGCTGTATACAGTGGTAGCTTGGCTCACAAATGCTTCAGTTCAGGACCAAATCAGGTTGCGAACAGAAATTTTGGCAAAATTTTGTCTCAGGTCACAAACTCCACACTGGGTGATGATCACGATCGCGCCTGTCTTCCCTGCATGGTCACGATCGCTATCGTGCTGGGGGGTGGGGAGATGGCCGCGATCACAGGAAGATGGGTGCAATTGTGGTTGTGCGGGGGTGGGGGGAGATGGTCGTGATCGTGCTCACCTTCCCTGCACAATTGTGCTGGGAGGAGGGGGGAAATGACCACGATCTTTGCTGTTGTCACTTTTTTCACTTTTTTGCGATTAAAAAAATGGTTACAGGATGAATTAACCTTATTTACATTGAATCTTATGGGGAAATTTGACTTGGGTTACAACCAATTTCCAGAGTTCTGGAACAGATTAAGTTCATGAGCCAAGGTACCACTGTATATTTTTGAAATGTCTAAATTGAAAGAGGTATTTGAGAATTTTTATCCATTCTCCTTTCCACAAGTGGTAAATTCTGCTGGATCACCAAACAGAAAGAGCTCTCCCATTTCTAGAATAGCTGAGATCCAAACCTCTGTGTTCAGAATCTACACAATATTCAGAAAAATCATTCTAAAACATTTTAGGAGGAGGTTAAGGATGTTAACATGGTGGTAGATTATTCTCTCTCTCTCTCTCTCTCTCTTTCTCCCTCCCTCTCTCTCTCTCTCTAGAAAGCAGATTCACCCTTTCAGTGGCTGGATCCTATGAAGAGGCTCAGAACCTCACACTGGGTAACTGGCTTTGTCGTGCTTCTCCTGCTAAATTTCACTACATCAAATATAACCCATCAGAACTAGACATTGAACCACGGAGAAGACAGCTCTGTGTGGTATGTTGCTTCTTGTTTTGGATGCCAGGAAGCATTTCCTGACAGTTAGGACCCTGAGGGTGTGGAATGGGCTTCCACGAGAGGTTGTTGAGGCCCCATCGGTGCAGGTGTTCAAGGATAGGCTGGACGTGCACATGGTGGGCATGTCGTGAGTGGAGCCGGCTGGTGCTGGAGGTCAGACTAGATGGTCCGGGAGGCCCCTTCTGACTCTCTCTGTTTCTATGTTTCCATAAAACAGGGCTGAGGAACCTCTCCTAGTACAAGGACCAAGTTCTATTTTGGAGAAGCTCTCAGGGGTCACAGTCCAGCAGTGGGCAGAGCCAGAAGCAAAGTGGAGTGGGTCAAAATGCAGATCAGTAAATACATCAAGAAAAACAGCATATTGTAATTGAAGGTCCCTACTGCCAGCAATTAACGGGAAGCATTTCATCCTAGTAGAATGGGGGAAATACTGCATAACAGTTAGGAAACCACCAAATGATTGTTGGTGAGAAGAAAGGGGATGAAAAGAAGTGACCACCTGGGAACCTTGGAGGGCTAGACTGGGGCTCCAAAAGGGGAGGGATTTGGCCTCTAGACTTGAATGTTTTGACTCTCACCATAAAGAAACAGTAGCTATGATGGCCAGTGAATTGAAGAGAGGAAGACAAGGAGGCCATGTTGGGGCTGAGCTGTTGTCCAAGGAAGGTACCAGGGTAAGAACAGGGGTAGTTCAGAGGATGCAGCAAGCATAAGAGCAAGGAAGTGCTAGACAATGTTCCAGCTTTAAAAGGTTGAGGAGAAGCAGGAGATGCTTCGCTGCCAAAGGAGGCAGTTGGCAGTTATCATGCAGGGCCGTTGCTCAGAACCATGAACTTTTGCTTCCAGCGCTTGCAGCTCCTGATAGGAAATATGAGTTCCTTATAAGACTTCTTAATAATCTTTTAATTTCATATACAGGCTTCCAACCAAAGGAATGAATCAGCAACCGTTCCCCTGAACTCACTTCCTATTCAAGATCAAGTGACAATAGCCCCGGTGAGAATGCACTATTGATAGACTGGAACAAAAAACATACAGAAACTTTTCCCCAGTGTGGGATATATTTATAGCATAATGTGTAAGAGAACAGCTACCACATGGTGACTGCTTCTAGTGCTTTATTTGTGGTGAGTTTCCTATAAATGTGGCTCATGGTGATGTATTTGCACGGCATGACAAGCAACCCATGATATAAAAACACAGGTGTTTGCCATGATTACTACCCTGGTGCAGCAATCAACTGCAGTGACTTACAGTGGATGTCAACCATGATAAGACACAATGGCTGGATTCCACGTAATGAGACAAGCCATGGAAAGAATGGCTGGTTATTATGTGTGAATAGCAGAAGCAGGATGAAACATGACGTGCTTGGTTGTGTCTGTGACATATTTGGTTAAGCTGTGTTCAGAAGTAAACTAGTACTTCCAGCATTATTTTGCACCAAATGTGGGTAGATTGATAAGAGTTTTGCAGCATAACATTTTTCTTGCCTACTGTATTGGGTCAACTCAACACATCAATTCTTGCATAAATCCTGAAACTAAGCTGAAGATACATTTTGTTCACTGAATGATAATATAAATGCCTAATTCAGAGCATGGAGTTCAGCCTCTGCCCTTACCCCATTGTCATGTGGAAAGAACCACATGAGCTGCTTTCCAAGGTCAGGGAAGTGACCTTGGAGAGGGGTAAAAGGGGGCAGGAAAAGGACGAGGCTGGAGAGGCCTGGAAATGAGCTTTCCTGAAGTCTTCACACTCCTTTGTTTCCCCTCCAAAACATTCCAGGTAAATGGGCAAAAACGCGCATCTAGTGAAACAAGCACAATATACTTTGGCTTGATCTCCCTGTTGGGTAATGGAATTTGCCACTTACTATTTCTCCACCCTTTATCCATAGTAACATTGTAAAAATAATACAATATGATCTGGAAGGAATGAAAACTTAAATGGCCCATGGCAGGAAACAGTGGAGAAATTAGTCTGGAAATCCCAAACTGATACACAAAACGAAACTGAAAAAGCACAAAACACTATTCATGCTTTTCTGATTTTTTCAATGCAGTTTTGCAATTAAAAATGTAAAGACAATGTGTATATATGGAAAAGAAATATGCACACTGAGTAAATCCAACCTTGATGGATTCATTCCTACTTAACAGCCTTTTATTTCTTCCCAGAACAAAACATTTGATTTGAATGTGACATCAGAAGATTGGTAAGACAGCCTTTTCCAAACCTTAGCACTGCACTCACCAATACTTCTTGCTCTTTCGTTCTTCTAGTTTAGATCTGTTTGCTCTTTTACAATATCTTGTTGATCTAAGATGCTTTTAATTGTCAAGCTTTATATGTAAAACTGTAAAGTTGTATCATGACAAGCTTGGACACTGTCAGGGTCCCTAGGCAAGAAGTCATAATTGGGTTTGGCTTTGCAGGGAGCTCTTTGTGAGGTTGTCTGAACATAACATGGAAATTGGTGTCTGGTCTTCTTCTTTTAGGTCACAATCCCTTGTGCAAGTTTAGACATAGAAAGGGCCTTCAACTCACAGAATAACTGGGATTGCTGGGCATTGTTGGACATTGGGAATTGTAGCTGGTCTGGGAATTGTGGGCTTTTTTCCCTGTCTAAACTTGCATAGGATTGCATCTTTACACAGGGATGTCTGTTGGTTCAGCATTTTCCTTTCCTTGAGAACACAACTGTGTACCTACTGTTTGCAAATATTTAGCAAACTTGAATGGATTATACTGTTGTGACCTTATTTCATTTTACATAAAACAATTTTCAATAAAGTAACCAGAGTCCAATGGGAAAGAAGATTACAGATAAATGCATTCTATAACTTTTAGCTTTTTCCTGGTGAACTATTTCATATGATTAACTCTGCTCCAATAAAAAGACCTTCAACAGTCCATAACTGTAGTTTGCCTTTTTCCCTAAAGTCTTTTAGGCAAATTTTATTGTGCAAATTTGTCCTTCCTTCCTTCCTTCCTTCCTTCCTTCCTTCCTTCCTTCCTTCCTTCCTTCCTCCCTGTGTGTGTGTGTGTGTGTGTGTGTGTGAGTGAGAGAGAGAGAGAGAGAGAGAGAGAGAGAGAGAGAGAGAGAGAGAGAGAGAGAGAGAGAGATTGATTCTGAAGTGGCCACCCTAACTAATATGCTCTCCAAAGGTAATAAAAACCTTGGGGTTCATTTATGTTTCTTTCTTACAAGTAGCAGCATCTAAAACTGCCATTTTCCCTGGCCTTAGGATGCAGGGCCTGCTGTGGAAAAGCCCAAAGGAAATTGATGTGCGTCTAGGGTATGATCTGTGCCCAGATGAAAAGAGTTTCCTGCAGAAGCGAAAGAAAGTGGTTGCTGCTTGTTTGAAGGATATTCTTCATTTAGAGCAAGGTCTGCAAGACCACGAAGTAAGTGAACCATGATGCCAAGTTGAGCATGTGCTACATGAGGATATTTTATAGCCACAAAATATTACCTGGGCTAAATCAATTCTTCTCGTTATTTTTCAACAGACATTATAGACAATTTTATCTGGGGCAATAGATGCTCCCTCAATCTTCTCTGTCCAAAATTGTGCTATTTTTATGTGTAGGTGGACTTGACACTGCCCTGTAGTTTCACTATTCAATTTATTAGTATCCCCTTACCACATATCACAGAACATTTCTTTGTCCTAGAAACTTGCTATGGGACTATTTTTGGAGCCATTTCTCCTCCTTTTTTCTTCATAATGGGTCATTTTTCCTTGTCAAACAGGTACCTGTGGTTGCTGTGACGATGACAGGGGGTGGCATGAGGGCCTTATCAGCGATGTATGGCACTATTTGGGGTCTTCAGAGACTGAAGCTTTTGGACTGTGTTTCATATATCACCGGGTCATCAGGTACAACCTGGTAAGGCAGCAGGCTTTTATCTGTGATTAGTCTAGACTGCATGTATGCAAAGATGGGTATTCAGTGCCTGGAAATTTTACTGAAACTTCCACAGACTTTTTGAAGGTAGCATTCGGGTTGGGATGAAGCTCATTGGAATCTATTCCTCTAGCATTGACAGGCTTCCTCTTGTGCTCTGCTGGTGTTAGAAAGTGTGCCAAGCTGGGAGGAAGTCTGCAAACATTCGTGGAATGAAGGTTGTGCAACAGGCAACCTTCTTCCGTGCCATGCACAGCAGCACATGCCACAGCTGCTGCATTGGGGGGGCGGGGCTGGAAGAGGAATGCCGCTTGTACAGTATTTGTGTGTGGCGCCATTTCTTGGGAGCACCATGAGCAACCTTCTTCTGCATCATGCAGTGCTGTTGCATGTATATGGAAGGGTGGCAATGCTTGTGCAGTGCATGGGCTCGGTTCCTACTAAGCAGCGCATGAAAACTGGGCATGCTTGCCAGGAATTTGGACCCAGGGCTTCAACAGAGTGGACCAGAGTCCAGGGACCCAAGCCCAGGGAATCCAATGGATTCCAACCCCCAGAATGAATTCCTCATGGATCCCTAGCTGGCATTTCTGAGAATTGTACCCATTCGTGCAACCAGACTTGACACAAGACATTTTGCTGCTTGAGCCAAAAGACAAGGTAGCCTGAACCCTGTCCTGATACACATGGTCTGATTGGATTATCCAGCAGTGTCAACAAGATAGTATCTTTCACTGCACTCAAGGGCAGAAGGTTAGTGTAGAGGATGTACTGGGGGCCAGAAGGAAACAGTGGGCTTTCATTTTCTTAAAAATGTTCCAGAAAGTTGCAAGCTAGCATTGACATGGTTATGCATCTCAATAATAATGATAATAATAGGAAAATTGATTGATTAACTAACTAAACTTGCTCAGTACCATAGAACTTTCTAACTATTCTAGAATTATTACCAGTATGTAGAAAAGCGCTACACTGACCTTCAACAGCAGGCATGCTTGCAATAAGAACGTCACTGAACAGCACTGGAAAAAGCAGACAACAAGCATCTTTCTCTTTATTTTTGCCCAGGACCATGACAGAACTGTATGAAGATCGCGATTGGTCTTATAAAGATCTTGGGGAAATCATCAAGAATGCCCGGAAGCAAGCAGCCAAATCGAAAATGTCTGCTTTTTCCTTGGAGAGTCTAAAGGCTTACCACAAGGAACTGTGTCAGAGGACAATAGCAGGATATAAGACATCCTTTATCGACCTTTGGGGACTCATGATTGAAGCCATGCTGAATGATGGGGTATACTATACATGATTGTTTGCAGAGCCATTAGCTGTTTCTCCCTGCCTTCAAATGCTTTTCAGCTTTTTGAGGATGGCTGTGGTTTACCATGAACATCACCTCTGGCCCTCAGGAACTGGACAAAACCAGGATCCTCGCAGAGAACTCTTCTCTTTCTTTTCTCTGTCACCTGAACTTTTGTACTTGCACCTGTTTTTCCCAGCAGCAGGCATCAATTCCCAGATGGTTTGTGCAGTACAACATCCCACCCTTTTGCAGTCTCTGTGCAGACAGCCAGTGGCAGCTCCTTCAAAGTGTCCAAAGGGCACATTGCCGGGGCTGTCATTGTTTCACCACCTATTTTTTTTTAATTCCACTCAAAGGTTCACTTATATTTATTTTTTAAAATTATTTTTGCAGTTGGATTAGCAGAAGCATGCACTTGTGTACTTTTTGGGAGGGGGTGGAACTGGGCAGCCTTGCCTGGACAATGTCTGGAGGACTGCCTACTCAGTCACCCACCATGGACATTGACTGGGTTCAGATGACACAACAAAACATTGTGGGTCCAACAAACCCTAAACGAGCTATGGATTATCTAGGCAGCTTGCTACCCATGAACAAGCAGCCTTGTGGGGAATTGTCTGGCTTCACATGACAATGTACTGTGGCTGGGCACTTCTGACTGAGTGTTGTGTCGTGAGAATCCAGTCATTTACTTCAGCACTGAGGTTTTCACATGGATGAAATGAGAGCTATTCCTTTCAGCTTTGCCCTTGTTCTAAAGGGGGGAAATGGAGCTATCCTACATTCCCAGGCTGTTAATGAAATAAGGAGGTAGGGAGGATGATGTGAACAAGAAAGGATAGAAAACAGTTGCAGAAACAGGCTAAGCATGAAATGCTGCACAGAAAAATATATCATAGAAATCTAGGAAAAAAATACAGCATTATGCACTCCAAAATTACAAAGATATGTGGTCTGAACAGATTTTGTATTTTTACAGTATATAATTTTGCATTTTTAAAATCTGGATTGGCAGAAATCAGTACATGGATTGATTAAATACCCCTAGTATTTATTATTCAATTATTAACATCATAATCCTAGGCAATTCTACTCGAAAGTAAGTCCCATTGAATTCAGCAGACAGAGTAAGCATATTTTAAAAGAACACTTAACACCGCCCACTTAAAGTTAGCCATATGACTCCCCAGCATAGATTCAAAGTATGGCATGACAGGACAAAGAGATTAATCCTCTCTTCCCACACTATTTCTTTTAGGAAATTCCCTTCCTTGTTCCTGTTTACCTCCCCACAGTGGCATTTACAGCACCGTCAAGGACATGCAGTAGCCGGGGGTGGTGGGATGCGGGTATTTGTAGCTGAAAAATAGGACTCAGAGGGGAGAAAAAGGAGAAAATGTTCTTGAGAACTCTGAAAAAGTGTTAATTAGTCCAGCTGGAGTTCCAAAAATAAGATAAAGGGAAGGGTATGTCTTGGCTTAGTCTAGGATTCCATGTGGGCTTACTAAAGGTTTTTTTTTTAATTATAATTTTGCATTTCCTCTTCTGTTTTCTACAAACTGTTCCTCCCTCGGAACCATGGTCCTGATTTAGATTTAGGGTGACCGCTTACACACCATCAAAGAGGATGCCAGTCTGCGTGATATTTGCTTATGCAAATTGATATGTATAGGAACACATTCTGACAAGGCGACCCTAAGATAGGCAGAAATACACAATGTCTTGCCATGCTGGAGGAGGCTGGCCAGGAACTTGGGTGCTGGCTCAGTCCAGTTGTTCACCACTAATGGGCAACTCCAAGGCCCTCCTTTGGCTCTTTGACTTCAAACCAGAATTGGACTGGACAGATTCAAGCAGAAGAAGCTGTCAAATAGAGGACTGCCCACCCTCCAACCATCCTGGGACCCCAGTTGCCTGGCTTTTATGACAAAATAAGGTGGCCAGTGATAAGCACACTTGTGGTAACACGTAATTTGACCCTCAACTGATCTGTATGTGGGTGTGAGGTCAAGGGGCCAATCTAGATGTAGCTGATTGGTTGCACTTATCCTTCTTTGCTGAATGTATGATATCTGTCTCATTATCTTCCCCACAAAACTCCAGAACAACAATCATAAACTCTCAGATCAACGGTGGGCAGTAAGCAGAGGTCAGAACCCCCTGCCCATCTACCTGGCTCTCAATGTTAAGGACAATGTTGCCACCCAAGATTTCAGAGGTAATAACTTTCTACATTGTGTTCATACTTTAATATGGCAATTCATATGGTCAGGTAAACACATCTCAGTACCCTTTAAAGGGATAGTTAGTTCCTTCATAGACACACAGGGAAGCCACCTCATTGGCACACCATTCTGTCCTTCCTCATCACCTTTTCTGACCTGGTACAACTTTGCCAGGTGAATTTCTGTATCTTAAAATGACATGACTGGTAGCAACCCTTTAAATTTCATCCTGCAAGTGATTTATTGGACTCAGAATGGCAACAGAGTTTGTACAGGACATAAGGGACACTGTTCCTTCACATTTCAGCCTTCCCCCTCTCTCTTTGGCTTCCATAAGTCAAAGTTCACACAAGCTCAAATCTGGAAAAGCGATGAACATCTATGGCTAAACCCTGCATTCAACACCACATGTTGAAAGGAATGCAGAAGCTGAATTCATAGGTGGGCAAAAAAGCAAAATGTTTGCACTCAGTTTTATACTATTTTAAATTGCACGCTTATTTATTTATTTATTCATTCATTCATTCATTCATTCCCCCACCTTTCTACCAAAAGTGACACAAAAGACAGCTTGAATGCTCCTGAGAAAAACTCAGGGCAATGTGTATTAGGTTCAATAAAATATTTGCTTGTATTCTCTCCCTTATTCCTGTGAATATAAGAAGCAGGAAAGGTTGGAAAATTATGACTTAGATGCCATCTGTTTTGATTGACACATGTTTTGAGGTTATTATGAGCCCAATCGAAGCACACAAGATATCAAATGATTTATTTTTAGTAGTTTTGCATAAGGAAGCATGTTACTCTGTTCAAGCTGAACTTCTGATGTTTTGTGCAGAATGGTTGGAGTTCACACCATATGAAGTGGGATTTCCTAAATATGGAGCTTTTGTCCGTGCTGAAGATTTTGGAAGTGAGTTTTTCATGGGACACCTGATGAAGAAGCTCCCAGAATCAAGGATCTGTTTTATGCAAGGTATTTTTTTATATCAAGGGGGAAATGAGACCTTCATACATACACAGATGATTATGAGCATAGTTCCTATGTTATGTTATGTTTCCAGTAACTGGGTTTTCTGCGCATTCCCAAGGATGGAAGCAAATGCTACATAATGTAATAATGCTACATAATGCTTAATGCATGGGATTCCATGCTAGAGATTAGCAGAAAAGGAATTGTAAAAAATTAAAACTGCTAGTACCACAATGCACTTTTACAAATCAGTGGTGTGACCACACTTGGAAATATGGTTGGGGCCACTCAATCAATATTATAGAGCTGGAAAATGCAGAAGATGACCAAATGATCACGATCAAGTGGTTGAGAACTTCCTTATAAAGAAAGGCAGTGACATGTAGAGGTTTTTAGTTTAGGAAAAACTGGCAGGGAAAGAAGGGTCTGTACATAGCAAATAATTAATGGATAGAATTTGCTGCTGCAATGTGTGATAATGGATGATATCTCTGTCATCATGCTGCTTTAGGAAGAGAGTGAAGGAACAAGCTTTTCACAAGTTTATTATTACATTTTATGGATGTGTTATATTTCCATGTTGGCCAATAACTGAAGCTTTCTGGGCTGGATGTCCTAAACCCTTTCAGTCTTAAGGTTAAAATACAGCCTGGTGTGTGTGTGCAAATGTTTTCATTAATATTTACTTTTAAAGGGATGTGGAGTAGTGTATTTTCCAGAAATCTATTGGATGCCTGGCATGCTGCTGACAATTCTGAGGATTTCTGGAACAGATGGACTCAAGATAATATTACTGAAATTGGTAAGCTATAAAACATGTTTCAAATGTTTGCAGGTACAATAAAATGAAGAGTAATAGTCAGTTGACCTCTTGCAAAGTTTAATTGGTCAACCACTTACGCTCTGCAAACTTTCGAGCTTTCCAGTGGAAATGGCTAGTGAAGAACTTGTTCCAAAAAGAGTCCTATATTGCTATTTTTGCCACTTTTGCTAAGACTACAGCATACGTTTTTGATGCATTGACAAGACTACCTGGATTTTTACTCCAGGGTGTTGGGGTTAGGGCCAATTCCTCTTCAAAGAGACCCCAAGGAGACATGGGACTGGATTCTGAATCAGATGAGGAGGAGTTGAGGAAGTTGTTCTGGGGGCAAACCCATAGAAAGATGCACCTGGAGGGACAGAATTGGTAGCTTACTCTGTTGGTGAGGGGTGAGCCTTGGTAGATGGTATCAGTTCTTCTATGGCACTCAGCGATCTAACCAAACCTTATGAGATACTCAGGTTTACAAATCAGAGCTAGAACTTTTACCTCCTCTGCCTTTAAGAGGGTAGCATCTGTAGGTTAAAGCAGTGCGCGTGTGCTTGCTTGCTTGCTTGCTTGCTTGCTTGCATGATAAAGGTACCTGAGTAGAAAGAGGGCTTGACGGATCAATTACAAGGCATGCCTGGGACTGGCCACATGACAGAGAGGTCCAGATAGGACAATTGTCTTCAATGATCATTCCTATGAATGGTTGAAAGTCAGACTGTGCCTTTCATTACCTCCCACCTGGCACATCTTTCCTGCCTCTGCAGTAGAACACATTAACGAATATTTGTAACATTAAACACACATACTCAATTTTCTGCCTCAAGCGCCAAAAGAACTTCCATAGTCCTGGGTGTTTGGAGGTAGCGCCATTTACTCCATCGGCTCAGAGTCCCAGGCTGGCCCTGTTCACTCCTACTCATCAGTACTATTTCAGTTTGCTTTCTTTTTGTCTTTCCTCAGAGGAAGTGCCTGATTTACCAGAGAGACCCCATGAGATGCCAACTCGCATGTTCACACCTGCAGGGGGCCTTTCCAATGCTCTGCGGAACTTGTTAACAGATCGCCCAGCAGTGTCAAAATACCACAACTTTTTGAAAGGATTCCAAATGCATAACGAATATACACAAAATCATCATTTTTCTAAATGGAAAGGTAGGGCAGTAGCATTCTTTAGTTTCTTTTGTAAATTAGCAATTTCCAAAACATAGGCTAATTCCTTGCTCCCAGAATTGTTATTCAACAAGTCCTACCCAACTGGGTACCCTCCAGTTGTGTTGGATGGCAACACCCAATGGGCATATTCACCAGTGGATGATGAGTTTTTTCTCAACACAACTAAAGGACAGTAGCAGCTGGGGAAGGTGAGGAAGATAAGGCAGGCCTGTGTTCTGCAGTAGCTGCTGTAGGAGAAAGGAGGCTCTTAGCATGGAATGCCGGGGATATGATAATCGGAGCTGCGCTTGCTTCCTCCTCCTGGAACAAAAAACCATTTCCCTGTACTCATCTGCAGGGGAGAAAGTGTTCCCTGCCACTGGGACATTGGTGGCTGCTGCTGCTCGCAGGACGAGATTGGGGGACTCAGTGAAATGTACCGGACCCTCTTTAGTTGCCCTGTCCTGTCCTGGATACACAGGAATACCAGCCACCAAGGTGTGTGCCCCTCACTTTGCCAGGCTCCCGTGTACATCTTCCAGTCTTCTGGACTCTGGATACTTTTAACATTGTAGGCAGCTGGTGCCTAGCAGTTGTTGTTTGCTTAGCACTGGTTGATGCCAAAGTGGATCAGCACTAAGTTGTTGATTGTTGTTGTTAAGCACTAAGCACCACCAATTCTTTCATCAGGCCTGCACATTACATGCACATTCACCAAGCTGAATGCTGGCTGCCCGGGTCTTCATTAAGCAAGGAGTTCAAGAAGCAAAGATGGGGTGGTCAAGTTATTGCTGGGTCACAATTCACAATTTTGCACAGATTCTGAGGATGAGGAACTCCATAGGCCTCCAGTCTCTGCATTAGCCCTTCTGCCAAAAACCAATAGAAGGATAGGTTGCACGTATTGATGTATGAATCTGTACACAAGAAAACTATACACTGTACAGGTTGTGCAGGGGAAGCCTGTGTCCATACACGGAGACTCTGGGCAGTGGAGCTGATCTACCTCCTGGTGGCTGGAAGGTAGGCTAGCAGATGTCAGTTGCTTCCAGAATTGTTTTCTGCCCAGAACTTTGGATAGTAGAATGCGTTTAACCTGATGCTTCACAAATTGTGAAGGCATGCTCTGGTTTCAGGTCAGTTTTATTTCTAGTCAGGAAAGAAAGCTATAATCCCTTGATCTTTCTAGTCTCTCTTGTTGTCATGGTTTATGCCTTTATGTTGCAGATACTGCTCTTGATGACTCCCCCAACCAACTGCAAAATAGTTCAGAGAATCTGGAACTTGTAGACACGGCGTTCTTCTTTGATACCAGTTGTCCTCCACTTTTGAGACCAGAGAGGAAGGTGGATGTTATTCTGCACTTTAATTACACTGGAGGATCACAAATCAAGGTTAGAAAGGTCCCTTCCTTCCACCTGGCTCTCCTTTCTCCCCTTTTCCAAGTCTTCTGTAAGACCTTTTTGAAGATAATTCAAATAAAAGCTCTGCTCATGAAATATAAAAACCATATTCAGAAACAAATAACTGGTAATATTGTAAAACTTCTGAACAATTAAACTAATATGATAATTCAGAACCAAAGTAACATGCCACATTTTTTATTAAAATAGCTATTCCAATAGTTAACAAAAAGATTCCAGCTTTCAAAACATCTTTCTAATGCTGTGGAAAAAGTAAAGGATTTCCAAGCTCAAGTAAAACAAAATTCATTATGGAAATTTTCATATTCAGATTCTCTTAGTTTAAACTTGCTTCAAAGATGTAAATGTTATTTTCTTATTCCCAGTTATGGATACTGATAAAGTGAAAGGTTCTATCTGGTTTTTATAAGGTACAAAATCACTAAATATGGTAAAATAATATTGCATTTTAGGGCTTTGAAATTAAAATTTTAGGTTCAAGGTATTTCCCTATCTGAGATCTGAATTTGTAGAACTTCAGCATTTACAAACTCAAATTTAGAAATGTTGCTGAATTTCAGGGTTAAACCAGATGCCAGAGTTTAAGCTTTACTAATCACCCCTTGAAATAAACTGGAGTCCAGAGTTGAGGACTTTTTTTCGGTTTCCAGTTTCAAAAATTACCATGTTCCTTTGAATTCCTATATGATCCCATTACAGTTTCAAATTTATAGTTGTTTCCCAAGAAATCATGGTCTGGTTTCCCTTTTGCCCCTGCTAAAAATGCTTCCTTTTGCAACTCCTAGCCTCTAGAGCGAGCCTTCACCTATTTCTCAGAGCAAGGAATCCCATTTCCAAAGACTCTACTAAGTGATGAAGAAAAGAAAAACCTAAAGGAGTGCTATGTCTTTGAAGATGCACAGAACCCAGATGCTCCTATAGTGATTTATTTCCCACTAGTGAACGATACCTTCCAAAGATATTTTGCACCTGGTAAGTTCATGGCAACAAAACAGAAGAGAATACATTGGTTTCAAGCAAGAACTTGATCTTAAACCCATTTAGAAGCTTTCTGATCCTAAACGTAATAGCTTGGAAGAGAACTCAATGGTTTTTAGTGGAATGTCCTTCTAAGCTAGATTGCTTTGGGTTATGTTCTTATAGTTTTAAGCTTGTGTGCTTGGAAGCAAGTCACACGGAGTTCAGTGAAGCTTATTTCATAAGCTTAGAACAGTAGGATAAAAATTACAATTGGGTGCCTCATTCCTCTGTGGTCCATTTCGTTTTTGGGGATGGCTTAGCCATGGCACTGACACCCCCTTCTTTTCTTCCACAGGTGTGGAACGTAGCACTGCTGAAATGTCACTGGGCCATGTGGACCTCTCCAGTGTCTTCTCTCCCTATTCCACCAGGCAGGTCTCACTGCAAGAGGAAGATTTCAACAAACTGCTGAATCTAACTAATTACAATGTCCAGAATAATGCAAGCACCATCCTCCAGGTTTTGCACAAAGCAGTTGAACGGAAAAAGCATACTCAGGCATCTCAGGCGGCTTCATGAACATGCCTTCTTTGTTCCCTGGCAAGCAAATATATAGATTGGTAAGATGTCTACTAGCTGATAGTCAAAAGAGTACCTGGTATAAGAGAACTGGAGTTATATGAACTTTAGCTTTCAGAAGTGACTCCAGTCCTGATCAGCCCTATCCCGCCAGCTGTGGCAGTTCTGGTATTCTGTCCACAGAAGTGAAGGTCCACCTGGATCATGGCACTCCCACCCTCGCTTCAATGTTCCCCAGGTATTCAGGTTCCTGGTTATCCATATATTTGCCTGTCATTTACAGATATAATTCTATTATGCATGATTCTCTATTCCAAATAATCTCACTCAAATAGATACAGTGTTCTACGAAAGCAGCAGCATTGTAGCCAAGATATAGTTCTTAATTTATTTTAAAGGTGTTTCTGAACTTCACTTCATTATTGTGCGGATTAGAGGGAACTTCTTGATGACAATGAAATATAGTCCACAATGCACACAAATGCAAATGTATGATTTCAATCATGGCTGGACAATGGATGTATTGTAAGAGATTGTTTTTAATATTCTAATGAGCTCCTACTCAAGTTCTATTTCAAGCTGTTGACAAAAAGCTCCAAACATCTAATCTCTGCATGCATACCTCCTACTCATTTAAAATCTGTCTTAAAAATGTGTTTTTCCTGCATGGTGGTTTGTATATAGTCTGTATAAGTTTATTATCAGGTTCAGTAAATGACATTCATGCAAAGAAACACTAAAGCCAAAGTCATGAATACATTACAACAAAATGTTACATCACATTGTCATGGCATTCTCTCACCTGCAAATACTGCTTCTCAACCCTTGGGAAGATTTATGTTCATCTCAATATACTGGACTTCTCAACAGTTTTGAAATTAGATGCATGTTTGTGTATTACTATGGTTGTCATCCACCTTTTGGATGTTAATGCAGAAATGGGATGCAGCAGATTTATGGGTATGTAAATGTGATGGGAAGTGGAATTTTTTATGCTGTAATTCTATCCCCATTGACCTCGGATGACGCCCCTCTGAACTTAGTGGATCTTTCTTCCAAGTAAACATGTCATGGATTGTGCTATAATTCTCCCATTCACCTATATGGGCAAATGAGATGCTACTTCCAGAAAGCATCACTAGCCAAGGGGAATGCCACGTGGACTGTTTGTCAAATACCAAAGGCACCTGAGTGTTTACAGCATCATCTGTGGCGAGTAAAACCATCACAATGTCTCTATTTGCTTTTGCTTTTCATCTTAAATTAAACAAAATGCCTTCTTTACTGGTTGATCGTTCATCGTTGCTGCTCCATTGAGCATATGACTGCTCCTTTCCCCGCTTGGCTGTACCAGGAGATGCTGCAGGAGCACCAAGACATCTCCTGAGCAGTAGCAAGTCATTTAGCACAGGCCTTCACTAGGTGCGTGCGAGAGAGAGGCAGAAAGAGAGAGCATGAACACTGTCATTAAAGGTGGTTTTCCCAACACTGGAGGTTTTGAGGATGCTCATTTGTCCTGGAGAGGCTGCCTGTGATCACCAACTAATATTTTTTAAATTACTCCTTTCTTCCCTTTGCATGGGACCACCTTGTCTCGGTATGAGTGGTTACCTAGGGAGTGCTTGTCCTTCTGACTTTTCTTTTAGATGTCAGAAGGATGCAGGGGATCTTTTACACTGGAAGTGTTTTTAATGTCCAAGAAACCAGTAACTCATTCAAAAGACCATGTACGCATACACCACTGAATATTCAAGACTGTTTCAATAGAAAATGTATCTGTGTAATAACTACCTCGCCATAAAAAGCAAGTATTGCATGTTGCCAAAACAAATGTTTAAAGGAAGTAGTAGTTGCAGTGCAATACCAGCAAAAAATCAAATTAGATAATCCCTTTTTAAAGAGACATTTGAATGGAAGTAGTGTTTTTGCGACCTCAGATCCATGGATGCAACAGGGAGATGCCAAAGAGGCAATCAACTGATTAGTTCGTGTGGGAATGCCCAGAGCTGTGGCTCAGATTCTCTGATGTGCCCACAGGTCCAGAAATGGGGTGGGGTGGGAATCCCAAGAGGTAGCATTGCCCAGGAAAAGAGTAGATACATGCCCAGGGGCTAACATGGACTTTGAGGCTGTAGGATCACAAGTTCATAATACGACCATAACCTGGCAGCAGAAAGAACCAGTACTAAAGATGAAGCAAGGACCTCAGCACTGGATGACAGAGCTAGTAAATTCAAAGAGGCTCAAGTCACAGCTCTCATGGCTGACTAGCCGGAAAGAAAAGAAACTGCAAGATACCCTGCTGTTGTTGCTATTTCATTTCTATACTGCCTCATAGCCAAAGCTGTCTGGCTGGTTTACAACAATCTAGAAAAATGAGACAATGAAATACAATAAAATTTAAAAAGAAAAGAAAAATCGCAAAGTTTACTACAGTTAAAACATGCTGCATAGACTAACCCTGTGGAAAACAGCTGGCATGGGCAATCGCCTCAAAACCCTGGGTAGCCAGGTAAGGCTTCGACGGCCTTTCGCAAAGGGTATCTTAATTTGGCATGAAAAGATGATGAGTTTGGTGCCAGGTGTGCTGCAGTGGAGAGGTGGTTGCATAGATTGGGGGCCACCACAGAGAAAGCCCTCCCTCTTGTGGTTACCTTCTGGGCTTCTCTTGGAGTTGGCGCTCAGAGGAAGGCCCCAGAAGCTGAGTGTAACGTCTGAGTAAGTCACAATTCCTGCTCTCCAACAGGAATTGTGCTCCCAAGGCTGTATACTTTAAAACCAGCATCTTGATGTAGGCCCAGCAGCATACAAGCAGCCAATGCAAATGGACCAAAACTGGCCATCCATGATTGGACTTATGGGTCTTGGTAATTAATCTGGCTGCCTCATTCTGCATGAGCTGATCTGGGATGCTCTGACCAAGATCTGGCTTTATTTGTTGCCACAATATGGACATGGGTGTCTGCAGGAGTGTTTCCATAGATGGGAGGCAAGCTGCAGTGCAGTTGTGGTTGTAATTTGCACACATAGTGCACACTGCCGCAACACACCCATGAACCTCCCTTGTGTATGCCTTTGTTGTTTAGCATCACATCCCATGACAGGTAGAATGCCTGTGGTATAAGGCTCGAGGTGCAGATGACTGAGCCTTCTCTAGAGCACATAATAAGGCATGTATGTGGTAGAATGGGCAGGACAGAAAATTGACTTTGCTGCCTCTGTTGCATCCTTGATGTGGGAGCCATGTGGTGGAGCTCCCTCAGTGGTCCGGGGCTGTTCACCCTCCCCAGCAAGTGATAGCCACTGTCCCTTTCCCATCGCACTTTGAGGACAAAATTGCTTCTCTCTGCAGCGGGGTTTTTGCTCTGTTAGTGCAGCTTCAGCCAAGTTGCTGGACTCCACTGCTCACCTGAGTGTGGAGCCAGTTTCAGTGGCTACAGCCTGAGGAAGTGAGCAGGACGCTCTCACCATGTGCACTGCCAGACCTTGCCCCTCCTGGCTCAGAAAAGCTAGTCAAGGGCAGCTGCCCCAATGGGTCCAGGAAGGGGTCAATACATCCCTGTGTAAAGGGCTGGTACCTGTTGCCCTTCAGGAGGTGGCAGTACAACCACTCCGGGTGCGATTTGACATACTGCCTGGCTGCAAACAGCCCTTTCTTCAGAAGAGCACCTGAGAGGGTCACGGTAGGGCAATGACAGGTACTGTCATGCGTGTGGGTTCTGGCACGATTCCCAGGCGTGCATGAGACGCTGACTGTCTTGGTGGGACTGACAGCTGAGATGCATGAAGGGGAGTTGGCCAACCCCAACAGGGCTGACAGCTCAGAATGGGATAATGAAATGGCTGTTGAAAAAGATGCAGCTCCAACTGCAGTCCAAGGCTGCTCAGGAAGAGATTAGTTCAAGGGTGGTTGTGGGACCAGTCAACCTGCCCGTGGGAATGAACAAGAAGAACAACAACCTGAGTGGGGGATTTAGTGAGATGGGGAGTCTCTTGAATGGAGAACTTCAGCCTCCTGAGAAGGTGGGCCCAGAAGTCTGTTGTCGCAGCTGCAGGGTGGCCCAACTGGGATCTCAGCGGGAGGATCACAGGCGTGCCCTGCCCAGTTCCACAGCGCCCCTCCTTCCTGAGACTGGCACAGCAGGTTTCATAAGTAAAGTATTGGGTGGAAGAGAGGGTTCGACATTTCGCTTTGTGTATGTTCAGAGACTTCCATGTAAAATAAAGGCATTTAACAAGAAGTGTGGGAGAGTTTATTGCTGCTGCAGTTGATGGGGGCACTCAGCTCACAACTGGGTTAGGCAATTGCTATGTAGGCTCCTAAGTAGATCCCTCATATGGCTCTGGGATGACCTATTTCAGATTTCCTTCAAGAACTCAATTGTTTACCCCCTCCAAAATTATTATTATTAATTTAATTTCTATACTGCTCAACAGCCAAGGCTTTCTGGGTGGTTTCATCAAACAAACAAAACACAAAACAAATTGCAAGAGATAAGCCCCCAAGCACAGTAGCATTTGCTAGTTTTAAACTTCCTTAATTATACCCGTTTTTATCAATTGATTTGCTCCCTGTGGGCATTAGAGAGAGAACATGATGTTAGAGAGAACATGATATAAACATGGATTCATTGGTTGTAAACCACAATAACAGGTGTATTAACATTTTCAAAGGAGCTGGCAAAGCAGCACAGATTCCCTTTGGTTCTGAAGCAATGTATTGCCACTTGTTATTCTATTTCTGGTTGGCAACAAAAGAGAATAATGAAAGAACTAGAAGACATCATTAAATGTAAGGACAATTCACTGCAGATCAAGTCCATGCACACTATTGTATTCCTGATCACCATGGATGGGTCTGAAAACTGGACAGTGAAGAAAGTTTGCAGAAAGAAAACTGATGCCTTTGCAATGTGGTGCTGGAGCAGAGTTTTGTGAATACCCTGGACTAACAAGTGGGCCCTAGAGCAAACGAAGCCAGAACTTGCCCTGGTGTCAAA